TGGCAGAGAGACGTTACGCATAGAAGTCTTCGTACTACTATATGCGACATGTTAAGGGTTCCAATACATAAGTCATCACGGTACAGGGGTTGTTTTAGGTTTAGTGCTGCAAGAATATGGAATGATCTGCCACCACCAATGAGGAAGAAAATCAGTACGCATCGGTTCAGAGACTTATTTAAATCAGCCTTAATAAAAAGGCAACTTGCGGCGGTGGATCTAAAGCACTCTTTTTGGAAGGCTATAAAGCTGGGGAATTATTTTGTGCCCTAATTTATTTATCTTAATATTTTTACTATCTTTTTTCTTCACACACACACTCATACACACAAGTACATGCACGCACACACACACACACACACATGCACACACAAACGCGTGCATAACGAACATACATTCATCTTACGCGAAGTTGTAGAGTGACCTACTGATAGTTTATTTGGATTTTTTTTTTTAATTGTTCATTTTTTATTATTATTATTTTTTGTTATATTAGTATTCACATTATTATTGCAATATTTTTTGTTTAGAAAATTTAGTAATACCGTGTTCATTGTTAGGCCCTCCATACAATTAAGCTCGCCCAATATCTTAGGGCCAAGGAGGTGGCTGAAAAACAGCGCTGTCTGCGACAACAACGGTTGCAGGCAGCACAAGCTGAGACACCTCCTTTTGCCCTGTTGACATGTTTGGCGTGCATTACGATAATTGTCTCTACTTATTATTATTATTATTTTTATTGTTTCATGTAATTATGTGCAAAACATGTTTTAATAGGACAATAAAACTTTTTGTATTTGTATTTGTATTTGTATTTTTTTTTTTGTATTTTCGTATTGTGTAACTAACCCTTATAATTAAGCATTTTGTAATTTTAACTAACAATCTATGGACCCAGTTCCGAAATAAATGGTTATTATTATTATTATTATTATTTTTGGTTAATGGGAGACTGCTATTTGCTGGACTATAAAAGCTGACAATAGTAATACTAGTATATTTGTCGTGAGCATATTGCAACTGTATAACTAAATTCTGAAGTGAATCATCAAACCGTGACCATGGGACCTGTAAAGGGCCCGAAACGTCGGTTTGTTTGAAAAAATTTGTTTTTTCATACAAAAAAATTATATGCGATTTAAATCCGGAAAAATAGTTTCATTTCCTATCAAAATAAGAATTAATTTTTGTAAAATGTAAGCTATCATGAACAAGTATTGCTACTCCGTTATGATCATTTCCACAATCAAGCCTAACAGTACTATAGTTTGTAAATTTCATATGTTGTTGAGGTTTAAATCAAGTTTCTGATATATTAGCTACATGTGTTAAATTTGCAAGCAGAAAATGAGAAAATAGATGCCTATGACTAAATAAACTCTGGGCGGTCCATTGAACAATATTTAAGCAATGCATGAAGGAATATAATTAAGGTTTGGATTTTCTCATTGTTTCCAAGAGTATTTCTTTTATACTTTGAGTGTTAATAGATTTTTCATTATTTTTATCAAAAATAATTATTTTAACAACTGACTCTACAATAATGTTAAGAGGTAAATCAGAGTTAAATACGGAAGTGAGATCTGAGTGAGCAACATTTTGCTTAGGTAGGGGAGGGAACGAATTTTCATCAGTAACAGTTACATTGGTATAGCTTCTTTTCTTATAGTTGTCCTTATTTTCTTGTATTTTTTGTTTTTTAATATAGCATTCTATTGAAATAACTATGTTATTTCCTTTGCGGTTACAGCAAAAAGCATCCTTGTTTGCGTTCATGCACTCTCTATAATTGTGGGCGTCACCACAAATGGAACAGCGAACAGAATTTTCACAAAATTTTGCTATATGTCCATACCTCAAGCACTTCAAGCACTGCTTCACTGAGTGTGTGTACGGCCTCACTTCAAATCGCCAGCTGTTGAGATCAACGCTGTCTGGGAGTGTAGGGCAGGGGAAGGTAATAGAAACTGTTTTAGTTGGCTCCAATTGACCATCATTACTGCTCTTCCGCGTAAATCTTCGAATACAAATAATATTTTTCATTGACGTTAGAGCTGAATAAATTTGTTCATTTGAAGGTTCAGTAGGCACATGTATGATTACACTTGTGACTTCAATTGCGGCAGCCGGAATACTGGCTTTAAGTTAGTGTGCATTCAAAACGCTCAAAAATAACGCCAATCTTGTACTTATTAATTCTTTTTAGTTGTTTAATACTTTAATGTATCTTTTCAGGTTGTTAGCAAGAGTCATCATGTCCCTGTTTTCTATCGGCTTCTCTGATTCTGTGCTCTCCAAGAACACAATGTATTCGAAGTACCTACAATCCTCTGATGTAATTAGGAATACGAAAAGGCTTATACCTGTCCTTGCTCTCTACCTCAATGACGGAACCAGTATCAGAGCTCTCCGACGACTGGTCTCCTAGTCTTCGCCTACAATTTTCTTTTTTCTTTTTTTGGCTGATTGGCCCATTTTAAATAAAGGGATTTTTTTTATCCGGACTATAGTTATTGTTTTTAACGTCCTAATTAAATATATGATATAAATCAAGTTATTTAATAGGAAATGAAACTATTTTTCCGGATTTAAATCGCGTATATTTGTTTTTTCAAACAAACCGACGTTTCGGGCCCTTTACAGGTCCCATGGTCACGGTTGACTGTCACACACAGTGTATTACTAATACACAAATTGTATTACTTACGACTGTATTGAAATACGGACATCCAACACTGAACTGGCAATAAATTGATATTATTAGATTGCGTAAATTTATTTTGTCTTTAATAACAACCCAAGAGCAACTGTAAGGGTGCGTTGCACACGCGATTTAAGTGTGCCTCTGTAATGACATGATCGCATTACGAAATGCACGTGTGTAGGTCGCGAGCATTTCGTAAACAGCCCAAAGGAGTCAAAATGGGTTAGCATAAATTAGCTGCATTTCGTTTATCGGATATTAGGCAGGACATTTTTTCCATTCTCTAAGGGCAAGACCAACAACAACGCGACGCAGTGCTGTCATTTTTATGAAGGAGGCAGGTATTCTTTCACAGACCACCTAAGTACTATTCTTCATTAATGCAAATGTAAGGGTTTGCAACACGTCTGTGAAGTATTGAATCATTTAAGATATTTACTAATGTAAAATTTTATTAAATTGTGTCAACTTTTTAATAACTACGTTATATTTGAAATTTTTCACGGAGAGTCTAAATCAAGTGCACGTTTGATAATGTTACGCCTTTCTGTTATACCTCTTTATACAAATGCACTAATTAAATAGAGTTTTCATCTCACGCATACAATACAATGTCCAATAAGAATCAGCCTTGCGATGTGCGCTCGAGGATAAATGAGACGTCAATGTGTTTTTGGCGAATATATATTTACTAACTTACTACCTTAGGGTAATATTAAAGTAGTACTAGATTATTAAAGTAGTACTAAACACCCTGTGGACGACGAAGTGGAATAGGCGTTTCGAAAATAGGCGCTACGCTGTCATTTTTAGGCAACTCAATTATTATCTTTGGCAACATAAACGTTTCTAAGCTGAATTAAATTTTTATTAATGAATTATCTTCTATTTAGAATAATTCAGAATTAGAAAAGTCCAAATTCTGTGGCCACGAACATGTAGGGAACCGTAATGAAGTAACTGTCCTAGCAGTAAAAAAAATCGCCAAAACAGATTTAGCTATATTCAAGGTAAGAGCAACACACTTTTTCTAAGGTCTGGTTTAGGCATATTAGATCTCCGACGCGCGCCATGCGTTAGCAAATTAGCAATTAATTCCGACACGCAATAAATTATAAATGGTGATGTGATACGCGCAATCTTGCAATCGCCGCATGCGCGAAGTGCACACGTCGGATATCTGACACCGAAACTGTAATAAGTGTGGACCCGGTAGGTGTGAGTGTGTGCGTTGTTACGCACACACGCTGTTAAGGTCCATCGCATAAACCACATTCGCTCCGTCAATACTCAGTATGAAGCAAATGTCATCAGCGACTCGGTCGCTCGATGGTCGTGGTCGTGGTCGTGGCCGTAGCCGCGACAACTACGGTGTCGCAGTCGCGCAGTCGCCGCCCCGCGCACCTCATTTTCCCCCAGTGGGGTAGGCAGACATTTTTGTCCTTGTTATGATCCTGACATCCCTACCAATATATATCAATCGTGATTTTCATTCACACCGATCTCCTTGCACATTAAACACATTTCGAGTATTCCAAATGTGGTACGATACTTCTATTATATTTATTTGAATATAATATGTTGAGTTAACGCGTTCTGGACATTACGTGGCGAGGTCCCGTGTTGGATTTCTACAGTTTAACCCTTTTAAGAAACTTGCTAACGGACGGAGCAGCAGCGAAGGACGAAAAGGCTGTACTGAAATTAATTTAATTTACAGTCACGAATGGGATCACCCCATAATTACACCGTGCCCGTAAACACGTGACGTAAATTACCATGCCCAACAAGTTTTCTCTGTTGCCCAAATCACTACGCATTTTGGCAAAACTTCTTATTTTGGAGAGGCCTGTGTTGAACAGTGTAGGCTGTCGTGAGTGCCAAAGTAGGCTGACGTGAGGGCAAGATAAGAATTAAATTCTTACAGTGAGACAGCGCTACATGAAGTGTGTATCACCATCCTGCTTTTTTGTCGTTACGAATCTATACTGAACTGTAATAAGAGTACATGGTAAGGCCCCAAATTAGACATACCAGTCTTCGACTGGGTACATACCATTTTATTCCACAGCTCAGGAAAACAGCACTCAGGTTGTAATGTTTCCGACAGAGTGGGCACAATCTTAGCTTCTGGTCACATCAAAATGAGAATATATTGCCAATTTTGTTGCCGCGATCTGTGCACCGTGAAGTCAAAGAAATAAAAACACCAGTGCCCCGAAAGGCGCATGGCGAAAAGCATTTACCTTCAATTAGTCACGAAATTGAGAAAAAAGACAGAGTAGATTTAATACAAAACCATTTAATAAGAATGTAAAAATGACATAAACGAGTGAGCCTGTTATTGTAATGCATGAACTGTCAACGAGTGTTTTGCAACTTGAGCAACTCAGTGCTTCGTACAAAGGAGAAAGAAAGGTTGTCACTTGAATATAATAAAAAGGGCATTCGTACAAGGAAACCTAAGCAAGCCGACAGTATTTTAAGTAAATATCCGGTGGAAATAAGATGTAAAACAGATGTAAAGAATTACATAAAATATGTTTCAGACTTAGTCTAGTCTTTTTTTGTAAATAATCTAAAGTTTAGCCGTAATGAACAATAAATTAGGGACTGTTTCTGTGGGACGCAGGAAAGGAGCGCTCTCGATCACTATCACTCGGCCGCTTAATCAGAAGTCACGACTGACACACGACGTTCGTGATTCGCCGAGCGCGTTCGCTTCGCGCGTCCCGCAGACTGGAGTCGCTCCGCGCGTATGCCGAAGGACTTTAGTAGAACATGTATTATCCAATGATGACGCTGGAGCAGCTGTTGCCGTTGCAGACGACGCAGTTGCCATTCTCGCAGACCTTGCAATTGCCGTCCACGCAGATGATGCACCGGCCGTTGACGCACGATGTTGACTGTTGCGAGCCTGACGAATATCCCTGTGCGGAACTTACCGCGTCACCCTGCGAACAACGCACCGCAATACACATAATTATTTCGTCATACGGTGCCGAGGGTGTTTCATATTTCCATATTCATTTGCATCACAAGGTTGATACAAAATGGTGATACGGCCATGTACGTAACTTTGCAGGGCAATGTTTAACTTAAAATTAAACTTTATTCTTGTTAAAGAAAAGTCTATAAATAATAACGCACACTCAACATAGCCCCGCACTAGGGAAACTCTGTGTCGCGGGTGCCATGGACACACATGTTATTAGGGACCGTATTAATAAATAATATTAAATGCAATATCAAATTAGAGTTAAATTAAGTGCAAAAGTAATAAAAACATAAAGTAATAACATAAGGTAAGTTAAGAGAAAGGAAATTTGCTTTCTTCTGATGACTATCAAAGAAACTTTTAAACATCGTATGATTTTTTTTATGATAGCAAGTGACGGAATGAACACGTCGTGTGTCTGGTGTTAAGCGACAGCCTGAGCGTCTTTTAATTATAAATACAATTTATTATATCTCATTTCTGCCCTCGAAAAATTCTTGCAACATTTAAGTTTTGTATCAAATGCGTTTTTAAATTTTCATTATATCATAAATAATAATGTTAACCTCCTTTTTAATGCTTTTGGGAACATGTTGGTGTTAAGGCTCCAACCCGCTTCGGTTTAAGGGTGGAATCAAGCGGTAGTCCAAATTAGAGAAATAAACTTAGGAGTGTAATGTGCACGCGATTACATTACAATATATGATATAATGACTCACTGTGGCCTGCCTTACTTGCTGCTGCAGCTGGTGCTGCATCTGCCAGTTCATGTTCTCCATATTGCGCTGCATCTGCGCGTTCATGGCGGCCATGTTGCGCTGCATGTTCCACATGAAATTCTCCATGAACGCGTCGCTGAACGAGAGCAGCGCTACGAAGAGACAGGTGCACTGCAAGAGTGCACAATAGGTACATACAATGTAGAGGGAAGAATTTTAGAGGTGGCCTGTGCCCTGCAGTGGGATACATCATATACATATGAGTTTATGATGATGTAGTAAAATTTTGAAATCAGGCAAGAGATGAGGAGTGTAACAATGACAGCCTTCATCAGTCGCATTATAATAATATGAAGTGCATTTTTGATCCTGGATCAGTCAGCAACATCACTTTTGCAACAACTACTTAATCGTACAAGTACAGAAGTCATAAAAATGAAACATCCGTTTGCCTGTTGTTACATTGGCAATGGCTAACCGCTGCGTCGGCGTGAAACGGCCCTTGTCGCGAATCCAATAAAGCCGTTTAATGACCAATAACTTGAGTCGTAATCTCTGCCGCCATGGAGTCGTACTCGGCACTGGCGACGGAGTGTACACGAGGACGTTCCCAATTATTACGATATATTATGTGAATCCTTCCTATATTCCAGTTCACAACACTACTGCTGCATTCATTCGAAGAGACTCGTGCCTAGTAGTGGGAAGCGTAACGGCTGTTGCAGTTCAGTTTTAAAGCGCCTCGTTCCCACCCATTACTTCGACAAATAAACTTATTTTTTGAAAGTTCGTCCGTTCTTGATGTTACAAAGTCCGTTTATGAACAATTTACTTAATGTGAAGGCTCAACTCAGAAGCCGAATACATAGAGATTAGTAATAAGTTAAAGGTAAAAATGGCGGCTGATTAGTCATCGCACGTTTGCGCCTGCGCAGTGGCGATTCGGCGCGGCTTGTTTCGCTTATCTCGCTAGTTTCTATCACATTGCAAAATGAGTTAGCAGACTCAAAATAAGGATTCTGCATGGCACAACGGCATGAGCCTCTTTTTCAACATGAATACACAACAACCTTGTAACTCGCAATTCCACACAAAACTCACTTCCCACAGTCGCTTGTGAACTGAGTAAGTTTATGTTTTCTTTAACTTGTACAAGAATAATTTTCTGTACCATCCATGACGGTATGTTTGTACGGTTAGCTGCTTCGTTTTGAATGAACCGTCGAACACGGCCTCGACCGTTACAGCGACTGGTAATGATTGTAACTTAACAAGAATCCAAACAAAATTTGTTGACGGACAACACACGCTTTTCACCATGCATTCTCCATACATTCTCCATACATTCTCCATACATTCACCATACATTGAATCTCCAAGTAACTTAAACGAAAGTAATCCCACATTGGGTTATTAAATAACCAACAAATTGAAATAAACCTCCAGGAAAAGAGAATATAAGAAAACCGATAAACCATTACAAAATAATACAATTTTAAGTTAGAAGAAAAAACTCACGGTAATAAGTTTCATGATTACTGAAATGAGTCTCGCAAATCGAGCGTTCTCGAGTGAAGCCGATGAGTGTATGAAGTGCGCGTGTGCCGAGTGGAGGTAAACAAGGCAATATGTAGGGTTGTGTCCGAACAAAGCGACCGTGTGACGCAGCCATTATCATTAAAAGTCGACTCAATGTTGGTGTTCGTTTAATATTTGTATAATGATGTGTTTTTCTAAATGAACACAGTAAAGATTAAAAACCATATTTCCCATTTCTTCTTATCTGCATTGGGCGACGTGACCCGTGTCCAGCTGTAGGGTATCGTTCTAGAAAATTATGAAGTCTACTCCAGGCTAATGTTAAGAGTCAAAACAATTATAGTCGAAACGAAATTCGAAATTTTTCAGTACCTTGCGTACGATCAACAGGTTGCAAGTGAACTGTAGTAAATATAAATTTTACGTCATTAAATAAAATAACCCTTTATCTCTATAAATAAACGTTTGGGAATATCCGGATGCAAGATTTGGAGAAGTTTCAAGTCCTTGAAAAGCACTTACAGAGAATGTTCTGCACCGAGACGCCGCAACAGCACCATCATCTGTCGGCGTCGGAACTGTGGTGCAAAAAGACTGAACCAAAAACTGTCACTGTTCTCTATATCGAGATTTACTATACAAAGTAGATGCATCATACAATACGGACATCCGTGGTACATGGACATCCTCTATAGACATAAACCCAGCATTAAACTGTACCAGTATGTGCACAGTTCGACGCAGCTCTTTGGCAATGCATCGATACAGTCTCGCTGCCGGGCAACGCCTTAATTCATTATGAATTTCGGCGATCCAGACAGAAACTGTTCAATACATGCTAACCAGCAATTCAACAATTTCATTGACACCATGCCAATATTTCGCGGCTAAGAGAAATTTTCCCAAGCAAAAATTCTGCGGATCGCGGTTTGCGTATGTGTAAAAACTCCTAACACATTTATTAGTAGCAAACACGGCTTCTCTCGACATTGTACCTGCTCTGTGTAAGCACATTTACAACAATAATTACTCGGTCTGTCGCATCTGCGACAATTATCCACTCTTTAAACAATTTTCACAGAAAAATATATTCAACAATGGAGACATGAATGTTTGTTCAGATGCAAATTTGGATGTTTGTATGTTCTCAATACAAAGGAGCTTCGTCGAAGTGAGCGTTTCGTGTGTGGCAGAACAAATGGAACCGTCTACGAATTTCAGGAACATGTAATTTTTATAGAATCTTGCACGTTCGACTAATGTGGTCAATGCTTTTGGATATACGCACCTGACTCATAGCAAAAATATCGAGTCATATACAGGATGTGGCAAGAGAAACCAACCGTATTTCAGCGGATATCGAAGAAGATGTCCAAATTGACAAACCGTTAGGTTTCCCTACAAATAATGCGAGGACAACGACTGCGTAACGTGATGTACTGAGGTGTTCAAATTTAGATTTCGTTCAAACTACTTTTCGAGACTAATCATTTCCATGAGCTCCGAGTATCGAAAAGACGCTCGCACGTTGAAACTTACTACCTTGCTAGGTAGTAAGACAGGTCTAAAAAGTGTCAGAGAGTAGGTACAAGAAAAACTTAAAAGTTGATTATTGATAAATCTATCACGTTTTGTGAAATGTCATGGACCAAAAGAAGTTGTACATGTTGTCAATAAATAATCCTTCGAAATTGTTAGTATTTTATAAATAGACCTGCGTAACACGTAGTCGTTTTTCAACACGAGCTCTCTGTACAAATTTTTTGATACCTCCCAATAGCAGTTTGTATTCTTTTGGGCAATAAACCATGAAAAATACAAATTTGATCTAAATGCATTACAACAACAAACCACAAATTATTTTGCGGTACCTACGGTGCACCAGTTGACGTACGGACCGACATCGTTTCGAGACACCTTTTGTACCTATGTACTTCGAGTCCGTCAAATCACTAATCTGTCACTGCCGGACACAATTGTTCGGGCAAATCTGTTGAGCCGTCACGGCGTGATGGAGCGAACAGCCGTCCATCCACATTTTGCATTAAAATTAGTGTATCGCTTAGTTATTCTAAAAGTAATTTCTATTTGTTCGGTTCCGTCGGCGTACATAAACGATTGTTACACTTGTTTATTTTAATGTGTGCGTCAGGTCTTATTGACGCATGCGCACCGCACACACTCCATGCTCGGCTGTGAATTAATGCCCCGATTCACATGTCCCACTGCCGGGCACGGGAGTTCTGCGAGAGGGTCTATGTCGCATCTCCTCGCGTGAATGAAAGTAAGTTTGTGCTCCTCCGGCATTCCGTTATACTAATGTATTAACTAACTAATTACATAGTTGGAAAAGACGGTTTGCCGGCCTCTGCCGGGATTTGAACTTACTGCAGGCATGGCAAGCGTTTGGCTAACTAGATAATTTTTATTTATTTACATTTTAAGTAAAATAATGACACGGTTTACTAAAATAGTTGTGAGTAATAATTTCCGTTAAAGAAACAAATACTTTCAAAACAACTGTTTAAATAAATGTAATGATCTAATTGGTTTCTCGTAATTGTTATCTTCGTAGCGATTCTTAAGAAACAGCGAGGTCTGTGGACGGCGCCGGCTGGCCAATGTGTTCTTAGAACAGAGACGCCGACTGCTTCCGATGCAAATGTTTAATTTAAGGCACTTGTTTACAAATACCGGAGCGCGTGGTGGCGACTCCTCAAACGCTCGATGACCTCGCGGAAGGTCGCAGCGATAACGGCAAATGGTTACACCGTAAATAGTTAAACATTAAATAAGCAACATACGTGAGCTGCGCCTACTGGTAAATTCGCACACAACTCAATTAACGTACACTCACATCGTCAAGAACGTACAATAAACGCGACGTAATAATAATGTAAACTAGTAACAATTACTTGCTTTCAAATTAGTTAGTATGTACGAACCAACGACTATTAGGTGTCGACACGCCCTTTACAAAAAAATTGACAATTGCTTGTCCCGTCAACAATGGCCATTCTTGGCGTCAATACGCTATCAATTTTTGACTATTCTACGTGTCACACGCATAACTTTTTGTTACGCACAGTGTGAAATACGTATGTGTTTTGAAACTGATATTTTTCCGAAAACGACTTTATTGTTATAATAATAACGTTCGCACTCATAGCCATATATATAACATAACCAGATAAACCGACTTGGCCTTGAAGTATTGGAGACGAGACCAAAACAAAAATACTTCTGTATGCGTATACTGTGCATGTGTGCCAGATAAATAGTGTTGCGCCATCCACTGATTTAACCTTAATATCGATTAACATATTACACTGATTTAAGCCACTGTTTTAACTTTAATATCGATTAACATTTTACTTCGTCGTATTCACCAAAATTTCTTATCGCAAAACGCCGAGACGTTAATTAAATAATTAATGAATGATTCAATACAAAATTAAGAAAGCTACTATCACCTTCTGGCAGTGCCATAGGATGGTAGGTAAATAATGGGTACTTTCACCCAAGATAACTCGCGATAACAAGATAAAAGCGGCACTCGAAGCGATGCTGGACCTGCGACCCCTCCCACTGTTCATTATACAGGAAGTAAATAATGAATAATGTGGGTACAGAACCACAATGTAGCTTTACTCTTTGCCTGCCTCTAAAGGAAAAGCATTTTTCCTCAAAGTGTTTGCTGCATATTTTTGAAAACTTTTTGGCAACCCAGTCTTCTCTATTTAGCATTATAAACCATTTCTATCGTACTTCAATGTTTTGAGGAAATCTGAATCAACAACAATAATTAACATAAAAAAATGGATGCCTCAACTACGCTATTAAAAGAAATTTTCGTTTTAATGTAGATAAAAAATAATGCACTAACGCAATATTAATTAAATATAAAGTACTAAAACGTTCTGATTCAATAATATTAAGTATGAAGATGATTTCGGCTAATATGCAAGCCACGCCTTTGCCTTTCTTTTTATCAGTTAATGACATCTCGATAACATATTATCGATTGCGTCAATCTCTATGAAAGTGGGGTTATGAATTTCAGAAATTCACGCATTTGATATATTTTTTAATTGAATTCGTATACATTTGGGTTATTAATGCACTTGAATGGTATAATTTTACGGATATATTTATGTAAAAAACTTTTGTGGTAGTGCTTTTAGACAGCTAAACATTTCAATAGTACTTACATGTGAAATGTACAATTCTGCGAGTTTTCCTTTTTAGATGAGTTACATCCGGGCACTGAACACGTTACCATGACTAATAAACGTCCGTTTAACACTATTTCACATTTTAAAATCAATTATTTTTCCAAAATAAACGAAATTTGTTTCATTGTCAGCTGACCCTAGGTTCATACAGGCTCATAGCGTATAATGAAGTGGTCTTGTCTACCCATCTTGCTCTAACATACGTGTTTACTAACGCTCTTTCACTTGGATTGCCAATCTATGGGTACCTATATACTAAATCTATAATAAAAAGTATATATTAATGGAAAAAAAGGAAATATATATAGAATAGGTGCAGTATTGATAATTTTACAATGCACGTAAACTCGTGTAGTATCAAATGAAGACTTTATGAGATTGGAGGTTTTCTTTGCCTTATCTACATGATTCCTATCTCCCTACTTGCTTATTATACGTCATCTTCATCCGTTTGAGTTCTTAGTTTTATCACAGGCATGATTTACATTTGCAGTTTTTGTATTGTTTTTTTTTTTTAGTTTACCGCCGGATCCTTTTTAAGGGAGAAATGGGCTGAAACAACAGGCAGTAAAAGCTGGGTACGTACTAAATGTAGCACCATTTGCTATAGGCATTTTATGACATCACATTAAATTATATACATATGAACAACATCATCAAATAAATGTATTTTCTTTCTTTTTCTTATCAAGTAATAAATCATTTGGTTAATCAGGCGGACATGAGATTCAGAGTCGCCTTCGCAAATTATAGACCACATCTAAATGTGAAAACATTTCTGAAGCATTGTCAGTTATTTTTCGTCAAGTTTTCATGAAACAAATGATTCGCTTCTTCGCCTTCGGAAATAAGTATCTTCATTTTCATGACAAGCTC